GGATTTTGTGCGACCTCATTCATTGTCTTTGGAAGTTCCTGCCTATATCTGGCAGGGTCGGGTTTCACCGGTCCCGTATGATAATGATTGATTCACGCTTTCAGTTGCAAGCAATAATATCCATGACTCTGTAATTGAAAATCGTACAATGTGCTCACTAGTAACTAGTACGTGAGGAAATTCCCAGAGTTCCGTTTAACACACGTAATCATCCCGAGACGAAACAGGCATCCAGTACTTCCAGAAACCTAATGATAGATCTTAGTAACTCATTCATGATTTCAGTAATACAGTTGCTCAATCATTAAGAAATTAGAATTTTCAACAAATGGATGCCTACATTATTTATAATCGATAACTGACTGAATAGATTGTGATTCAAATGCTACGCACTCTATATTCACTTAGATTTCATTCTAAAATAATGTGAACATATTTTCTTTCGTCAAAACTATGCTATGGATTATTCAAAGAAACAATGAACCATGAAAAGTTTGAATCTGAGATTGGTTTCTTCATTTTATTAATCACATCTAACATATGAATCTAAAACTGTAAAGAAAATAACCGCTGACGAAATTGCTCTTGCAGTTAGCTGTTCAATATTCTATCACACTATTACAAAGTTACTCGCTGTTATTGAATAAAAATAAACAGAACTCAGAGGAGAAAAATTTTTTCAACTTAATCTGTACGTTCATTATAATATATTACTGCATGATTGATATTTATCAGAAGATCAATGTGGCACATTCAAAGATCACATTGATGGCACTCACTAGAAATGAAAACCGAAAACTTTGATCTGAAATCGATGAAAAGATTAAAACCGACTAAAAGAAACAGATTGTTTTCATAAAATCCAAAAGATAACGTGATCAAATACTCTAGTATGACACTGTTAAGCATTATCATCTGGTCCGAAATTTCGAAATGCATCAGCGAATGTCAGTGAATGCTCCTCCCTTCAAACAAATGATATTTACCTGTATCTAATAAGGTTTATAAGCAGCCTGAAAAACATTCATATCGCCTCTTGAGATCAGTATCCTAAGCCTGTAACTAATCAATAAAATATCGTGTCCTCCAGATAAGGACTTTATACTTTTTGAACTGTTATGACTATGTTAGCGAAACATCTGATCATGATAAAGCTTTAACTGAAAATGTTGGGTATGTTAGATCCCCAGAGCTCGCTTGATAAATATCATTATTCTGGATTTATTTTACGGACCATTCAGTTGACCTTGAGAACAATTTGGTGACGGCATTTTTAAAAACGATCTGGTGAATTATGATGGGTGCGGCTAAATTAGATAAATTGTCTGCACAACAGCTGAATTTGATGGAGATACTTACTCAGACGCACACCTCTGCTCAAGTCTCATCTACACCGACGATTCCTCAGTCAGTCAATAGCATGACCAGTGGTATCTCAAAGTTTCACTTGATCCTTGGTTCAGGCGTTATGAAGATCTCTTCGAAGTTGATTTCGCTGACAGAGATGATTCCTGGAAGGTTTGTCTTCTCCTTAGAAACCTGGTCCGTCGGAACTGGACCGGTATTGCAAATACATCCTGCCGCAGAACCCACGCGACCGATTATTCGATGCTACTATTCAGTCCCTTAGCAAGCGTTTCGATAACCAGCACTCTCTTTTCAGTACACATTATCGCTTCTTAAAACTGATCATGAATGAGCCCGATATCTTCATGACCCATGCTGGCATTGCCAACGGTGAATGCGAACGGTTCAAACCCAAATCTCTCACTGATGACCGATTCAAATTCTCGTTAATCGACTAAGGTGAACTCGTAATAGTATAACCATACGTAGAGAGGAGCGTAACAGAAACCATTCAAAATATACATATGAAAAGCGGAGCAGATGATAACTGAAAACTTTGTGAAGGTGAAAGTTGACTCTATTATAAATTTTGATGTCTATGAACATATAAGGCCATCGTGTTCAGCTAGACCGGGACCTGTATCATGAAAATATTATCCTTCAAAGCTTCGTGCTAGTTATGAACCACACTTGGTGTAGTTTCGTTGCAAAATGTTTAGCTAAAGTGTTATCTGTTATAAAATACAACAATCGATACAGCTGTCTCTGTTTGGTCAATTTCATTGACTCAGTTATGTGCATTGACATAAATCATTGAAAAAATTATCTCATTGAATGTCGTTTCATTCTTTACTAAAGTTCTACTCACAGAAACTATATATTTTTGTGACTATATTAAGGATAACAACATTAATGCTTTAATGTACTTTCAGTGTATAATTCAAATCTTACAAAGCTTTCTATAGTCATATTAGTGGATTTGCAATCGTTTCTTCACTGGGCTCTCATTGAGCAGATTGTTTCATAGCTAAACTATAAAATACGGCACTTCGACCAATAACTGAGCGATTTCATTTATAAAAGGGATATATGGATAATTGACGAACATCTACACTCCAATCAAATCTTAGATCAATTCACCAGTGTTCAGCAGACGTGAATGAGGAGGTTTAGTTTCATTTTTTCACGCTTAAACAAGGCCTAGGTGATCGTTCAGGATGATCTATATATAGAAGACTGACAAACAGTAGTCAATATACGAATTTCCATAGCTAGACTCCATCAAGTAGAAAGAGGAATTTCACACACTTTATCGTCAAGGATATGTTCTTATATACAATAGATGATGAACTACTTGGACATCGACGTACCGCTGCTGAAATCCTGAATAAACCGATTTCAAAATCCTTTGATAAAACCTTCTGCATAGAAACACTTCCTGTTATCTTCTCAAGTCGGCCAACAGTTCATGAATGAGTTAAGGATAAGCTTCAACTTTGGGCCATATCGATTTGCATCAATAAACTGACTTGCTCCTGTGCAGTCAGTTACAGTTGTAGTGTGACGAATCGATGCATGTTCTTAAATTGCGTAATAAGCTCGTTCAGACTATATTTACTAAATGACCTCTGACGGTTAATAATTCAGAAGATGAATTCGTAATAATGAATACGTTTATTCGGGACACACCACAAAGCAAAGCGAATCGAAGAAGGCTAAGAGCCAACTCAAATAAATAGAGCATGACTAAGAATATATAGTCAGGTAAAAATAAGACAGACTTAGACAAGCGAAATAGGTATGCACAGACATGAATAAAAGCGACGGATGATTGACAAGGTCAAATGACAAGCGGAACATGTCATGTGAGCTCATACAAACCAGACAATAATAAGAACGAACGATACATATAAATTGTTGCTATACAAATGGCTTGGTTAAATAAACTAATCGAAAGGGCTTAATCAAGTTAGATGTAAGCGAACTGGGATATATGTGGAGGCACTAGACAGTGACCGAACAAACCTGTCAGCAGCTATACAGAAACTTCTGCGGACGCGTTGTTCCTAAGGCGTTGTTTTTTGATGTAATATGCGCAGTTTACAGAATTAGATCAAATGAAGTGTGAACTCTGCCGACGAATTTGCAGTGCACGAATTCAAGCCCGAATTCTGCGTGTAGAAACAATCTGTTCAACCTCTCATACTTCTCTTGACCTAATCCGTTTCTAATGTAATTAGTTATTCTTATCCCCTAACAAATTTCTTGTATATTATTCAAATGTTATTATGACTATTGAGTTTTTCATTTTCTTCATATGAACAATCATCTCTCAGATATCTGATTGATTAACTATTTTCATCCCCTTATTCTTCTAACTCCCGAATTATTACGTTACTTCATATCGATATTAGCAATCTCTAATTGCGATGTGATATAATCTCGACTTTATTCATTTTGAACATTGTGCTTACTACCTAAGACCGACACTAATCTATCTTCCTTTTCATGTCCCTCAAGAAACAACCTTCCACGGTGTGGGCAGCCGGGAAGTGATAACCGCCCTCATACCCGCAACAGTACACAAGACCAAATTGTTCAAAATCAAATCCTTCCTACATTCCCGTAATACCTCTCTTATCTCCACGACTAACTCTTCTCACATTCATTTATCACAGTGCACAGCTAATGCAAACGATGCGAGTTCGCGAAACGTCGTTCCTGGTCTCCTGAAACCCCGTTCCAAACTACATGTTGGAGCATTCAATGTACGGACATTATGTCAAATAGGGCAACAGGCATCATTAGCTAGGACTTTAGAATCTCGTTCCATCGATGTGTGCTGCGGCTCGGAAACGCGCATACAGGATCCGAGTAGCATCACTCATTTGACCTCACCATGGCAAGATAAAGAAGCAGCTCGATTTACCCTTCGTGTATCCGGTAGCCCTGATGCTGCTTCTAGGGGCCTCGCCGGTGTAGGTATAGCATTGAATCGTAGGGCAGAACAATCTCTCCTTGACTGGATCCCTGTAGATAGTCGCTTGTGAGCCGTCCGACTGAACGGGACAGTAAGGGCTCGGAAAGATAGGGACACTCGTCGTTGCCTCTTCGTCATATCAGCCTACGCCCCCACTGACTGCAGCCCAGATGATGTAAAAGATGAGTTTTACAGAAAGCTTTCGGACCTTCTCCAAAAAGTTAAGCGCTCTGATATAGTTATAATGGCTGGTGACTTCAATGCACAAGTAGGTAGACTAAGTGAAAATGAAAGACACCTAGGTGGATGTTACGGTCTCGTAACGTCAAGGCATTTGGTTATCAGTATAACTTTGGTTGATAATTCTCTAGTTTTTTGTGGTAACTTTTCTTTGCAGTTAGAATACAAATTTGCGCACCAGCAACTCACATCTGTTACATAATAAATCTACTATCAAGGATAAAATATAAATTCAAAGAACCCTTTTTGTTTTTTTCTTTCATGAGTGAAAGATTACAGATTTTTTTGAAATTACTGAAATGAAATGGATAACTCAATCTAATTATTGACAACTATGATGAATTGATCATGTGTACTGATTATTTTAAATCGGAAGAGATGATCAAATTTAAATAATAGTTCAATAACTTGTAAAACGTTTTGAGTTGATGGACTATTAATACAACTGAAGCATCATTTAAAAAAATGTTTGGTCATTAACATAAATGATTTTAAATCATTTATGAATTAATATGAAAGTGTTTGATCGACTTGACTCACATATCTTTTGTTGTATTTCCTCCACTGCATCTTGATGAATTCTGTACATTGTCATACTCATCAACTACTGCATCATCACCACTACAGACTGAGCCACTAGGTGGTGAACATATTTTCGATGAGCATTTTGTGCTATCTGGAGATGTTGGTTCAGAACCAATAGGCGTAGGTGTTGTTCTACAACTGCTTATTACCGACTTCGTTGATGAACTTAAACCGCTAACGCGTCGTTTCTGTCCACTGACACCGGCCAAACTGTTTACAGGTATGCCTGAAGTAGACAGCATTACTCGTGCTTGTTCATATATTGTCACGTCACCTTTTAAACGATCTAGTAACTCGTTCGTTGCAAGCGTTACTAATTCTTTAGCCAATCGAGCCTGTGGAGTTAGGAAATGCATAAAAAATGCGCTACATTTTCACTCGAAACAATATAAAACACAACATCACATTCAAATGTTGCCAGTAAAATACAACTATGATGACCAATGGGTATCCCGTGCAAATGTTTATGCTACAATTTGTATAAAGTTTCATAATGTTAAGTAAATTTTGGAGTGTTAATAAATTGGCAGTAGTGCATTCACAACACATCAGTTTTGAATTCCGAAGAATTTTATTGATTAGCAACATTACGCAGATTAAATCACACTTAGATTTTACAATTTCACCGTATCATCAGACACTTATAAGCAACAGCAAACATAGTATCTATGTGCACCCGTTCAAGTTGCCAGACTATACTATCAGATGAAATTATCAATATATATGTCAGAGTAGAAGTAGTAAAAATGTTTCAGATTCGATAATACGATTCAGGGCTGGAAGAATAAATATTTAGAATGAAAAGCGATAAAGGATTTATAAATATCAGATCTGTTGGGTATGTTCAGCTGTGACGAATGCTTAAGCAATATCACCTAACATTTGCAGTCAATAAACACGATAATCCCGTGAATGCCGACTAAGATTTTCGAATAATCCAGTTTAGAATAGACAAATTTTGCAGTCAGGGCTCAGATTATACCACATATTCTTTCTTCAGACTAAACATCACTACTTGCTGTTGAAAAACATGTTGATATTGTACATATTGCAGTAGCCAAAGACAGTAAAACAGGAGATAATTTAATCGATAGATCCACTCTGTCCCTACGACGCTGTGTTGGATGGATGATACATAATTCCAAGAAATGTGCATTGGCTAAATTATGATATAAGTAGTGCTTCGAAGGATCCGTGACAGTGGTCCGATGGTAAGGCGTTCGCCTACAATGCCAAAGGTCCCGGGTTCGAATCGTGCGAGGAGCAGGAGTCGTGGATGCGCACTGCTGAGAAGTCTCATACTAGAACGAAACGGCCGTCCAGTGCTTCCAGGTTTCTAATGGTGGTCCAACAATGATTGATTGATGATTTCAGAATGTGTAAAAACGCAAACCTCCAAAACTGTGCCCCAAAATATCGTAACAGTGCTTACTAGTGACTAGCTTCGTGAGGAAATTCTCTGAGTTCTAGTTGAGAAGACGTGACCAGTGGAGTTCAACCCTGTCGGGTGTAGGCAGTAACTACCAAAGACAAATGGGTGAGGTCGCGCAAAATCCCTAAATCAATCAGAGTTAGACATTAACACCGTTGGATGCCGGCCCAGTGGTCCGATGGCAAGGCGTTCGCCTACAATGCCAAAGGTCCCGGGTTCGAATCCTGCGAGGAGCAGGAGTCGTGGATGCGCACTGCTGAGGAGTCTCATACTAGGACGAAACGGCCGTCCAGTGCTTCCAGGTTTCTAATGGTGGTCCAACAATCATTGATTGATGATTTCGAATGTGTAAAAACGCAAACCTCCAAAACTGTGCCCCAAACTATAGAAACACTTCTCCTAAGTAAATTTTGATCGATGATTTCAGGCATTTGAAATAGATCAGCTCAGTCAGTGTAAAATAATAAGAAATCATTTCTATCTTACACAGTAAAAAAGAAACAAGTACATATACTCACCTCAATATCTGGCCGCATGTTTTCTTGGTCTTCTTTCTTAATCAAACGTTTGACTTTTTCCATTCTTTCAGAAGCTCTCTTTAGGCGGGTATTTTGTTTCTCGATTTCATTTGTTCTATGTTCTACTTCTACTTCTAAACGTTTTGTTTGATCTTTGTATAATTCTATGTCATTATCTAAACGTGTTGAAGATTCTTCCATTTTCTAAAATAAAAATGATTGCCTATAAATTGGAAAGCTTTGAAGTGAACTTAACTTTCATAAAAAAAAACCTTAAACAGATGTAGCTGTAGGGTGTAAAACTCAGAGGATGAATCAGTTCCTTAATCGTTTTCTTCAAGTTTGTTTTCGACAACCAGTCAGTATTCGATAAACACTAACTCCATGAATATTCTGGAGTATTCGTAGTTTTTAGATGATATTTTCCCAAGAATTACAGAGAGCTTTCAATCTATTGATTTTCTGTTGGAATAGTCATTCTATTAAAGTCATTAGAAAATGGGTTTCTCATGAATCCCCAAAGATTACTATTTCAGGACATATTTGAAAATGTCAAAATCACCAAATCATCGTAACCATCTGGATATGCCCGAAAACTTTTGAAACGCAAAGTTCGAACCTACCAACAAAAAGCAGCTGACTTATGTGATTGATATCATTATTATTAATATCGTCAAGTAGCCTCTCTCCGAAATTCTTTTACAGAAACGTGATTTGATTTTAATGCGAACTCAATAGAACCCTGATTGTTGCATATTTTCTGAATGAACATTTGAATTAACTACTAAAATTATGCTTGTCTCATTATAATAGTAAGAAAGAATTGTCTTTTAACGAAGTAACTGTTTGTTTTACATACTTTTGAGGCTGATTTTCGACAATACCATGGATTTAAGAACTAAGAATGCAAGTATTGTAAATGTTTTTTGTAAATTTGAACGTATTAGAAACTGTAGTTTAAAACACCTTGTTTAATAAAATGCAATTACTAAACATTGAATATAGTACTTTAGAACAACCATGTTATCAAATCTCTTACGTTATATAAATCATGTAGTTCATTTAAACGAGACTGATCATAACGCGATTTAATGTTTAATACACGTATTTGTTCATTCAATTCGGTTTGTTGTTGTATCTCGTCTGCATCATTTGTTAATTGAGCATGACTCATACGATAAACTGTATTACAACCATTCATTAAAGCTAATGTATTTTCAAGTGCAACAATTTCTTGTTCTAATATATGTATTTCATTATCTAAAGTATCACCTTTACGCCGTAGTAATTCTTTATCTTGAGCAGCCTAATGGAAGAAATTAAGGAAGAATTAAAGCAAACAAAAACATATTTATCTCAACTTGCTAAAAAGAAATGCAACAGAACAAATCACTTACTGTAAAATGCGAAAAAAATTTATCCAACGTCCTGTGTCATGGCACCGAAGGCATGAGAGAAAAGGATGATAGTCTATACATCGAGTTATTTTGATTGTTCTCAATTGTACAAACTAAATTATGTGTTTAAATAATTTATTGTAGCCGGAAAACTTAAGTCGTATGTTCTCGAATCGGAACAATGTGTACAGGTACACAAGGCTGATGAGTTCCACACTGGATGAAACAAAAGTCATTGATTCTGTTACTACAGACATCATTCACTATAACCAACAATAATCAGTATTATGATTTGGCTATTCAGTGTAGAATCTATTTTGAAAGCCTTGTTTTTGGAAAATCCCCCCATGTATATGTGTATTTGTGTTATGATCTGACTGACTCTTTCTGTTCGATATTTTGGTACTCTATTTGTTCCCATTCTGAGATTTTATCGTTTGTATCTTGTTATTATTTCTATATCTTGTACTTATATTGAAGTTTCTATGTTTCCTTCGGAACTACATATATGTGTTGTTTAAAATTGAGATGCGTGTGAACCTACACCTTTCGGTTTCACAGCTCACTACACGCTGCTAGTACTTGGTCACACTTATCTTTAAGAAACTTTTGGTTTTTCAAACCACTGAGAAACCCATGCTTTCAAGTTAGCAAAGCTTGATTAGCTGATACAATAAGGTCCAACAGCCGCTTCATAGGTGAGAGATTCTAACTAGTGTAAAACTATGTTACAGGAAAGCTAGTGTGGACCAAACTGAAACGAGGTATTAGCCCATGAGACCAGTGACTGTCGGACTGAGGCACGTACAAGAAGTTAGACCTCCGGTTTGGTGTCTGTGTAATTAACGAAAAGAGTTGTTTAAAACGTTGTATGAAATGGCTTAGAATCATTCACAATTTATAGCCAACGTATTCACCATCTATCTTTACTTAGATCCTGAATCACAAATCTCTTCAGGCTTTTTTTTTCTATAACTGATCTTTTTGATTACTAGTCATACTGTTACTACTACTACTACTACTACTACTACTACTACTCTGTACCTTTTACCTGCTGGCTCACTTATTGACTTAGGATATGCCAATGACATAGACCTACTTGGTGAAGACGCTGACAAAATGCAGAGTCTTCTGACCACCCTAAGCAACAATGCAAGCATGTTCGGGATGTGGTTTTCCCCCTCGAAATGCAAAATGTTGCTTCAAGATTGGGTTATATCGGCACCTGAACTAGTGATAGGGAGTGAAGTAGTCGAGCGTGTAAACCGCTTCACTTATCTGGGGAGTCTCATCACCGCTGACGGCCTGGTGACTGACGAAATCTCAGCATGGATACAGAAGGCTCGATTGGCTTTTGCCAACCTGCGTCACTTATTGCGTAGGCGAGATATCCGTTTGCTGACTAAAGGACGAGTGTACTGAGCAGTAGTTCGCTCCTCCGTCTTACTTTATGGCTGTGAAACATGGCCAGTGAGAATAGAAGATATTCGTAGGTTACTGGTTTTCGATCATAGGTGTCTTCGAAGCATTGCTCGTATATCCTGGGACACCCGAGTGAGCAACGCTGTTATTAGGGAACGGGTGATAGGTAAGAATGGCAGATCAATAGATGAAACAGTGAAACTTCATCAGTTGAGGTGGTTGGGACACGTGTTGCGTATGCCCAACCACCGACTGCCTCTTCGAGCTTTGTTTTGTGGTGTAGGAGTAGGTTGGAAGAAAGTTAGGGGCGGCCAAACCAAAACATGGCAGAAATCCATGAAGTCATTGACAGGTGGACTTGGCCATGTCATTAATTGTCGACTACCTGGTTGGGGTCCGCGAGATGATAATAATCGATGGTTAGAAACCTTGAATGACATGGCTCAAAATCGTTCGCAATGGCGCCGGTGCATTTATTGTTTGTGTTCTCTCAAATCCTAATCTTCTGGATTCTTCAACACCTCTAGTTTTGACTTTCTAAACTTTTCTCACTGAATCATACTTCGTGAATAATATCTTCTCATCCTAACCTCTCCGATTACTTCTAATACCCTTACTAACTCTTCTACTATTGGACTTGAATTAACAATTACATCTCTGTGCTGATGTGGTATGGCGACATGAACTGATGTACTTATGTATGAAGTTCTACGTTACAACTGACTGACTGACTACTACTCTGTAATTCATGAAATAATACAGCGGTCTATTATGTAGGAGTTTAAAAAGTTTGTATTTAAGAACAGTAACAGTTGACGGTGATTACAGTAATTTTAAGAGAAAATCAGAATTCACTGGTCAGGATTTGCAACTTTAATCCAAATAAAACATGATAAAGGTTGATCACTTACTTTTATTAAGTAATAGGCTAGACTTTTTGTTTCTTCACCTTCTGGAGGTGCCATAAGTGCAGTGATTATTTCATAACTAGGTTCGATAATTTTGAAAAGTAAAAACGGATTAGAATTCTGTTTGTTTAAAGTGAATATATATAAAAAGTATTTGAAATAATCTGACGTCTCTATGAACAAGCGTCTGCTCAGATTTCTGGACCGATATTCCTCTAAATATAAATGTGCTTTTATTAACTAAATACGTCTTCGAATTGCATGAATTTTCCAGCCTTCATTATTTGTTTACACATTGCTGAGAAGCTTAATAGAAGCTTAAAACTCTATGGTTACTGCAGCTTCCAAGCATGAATAAATTAGGAGGGTCACGCATCAGGTTTGCGACTTCACCCGGTAAAAAACGAACTCACTATAAAAATGTTAACCAGAATAAATTACTCAAACCATCTAAACTCTTCCCCAGGAATTAAAAGGTAAAAATTCAGAAGACCTATTGTTACGGGAGAAATGAAGACATTTGGCTGATTAAAACCTTTATATAAATATTATTAATTTCACTGTGTTTTTTGGGTATATTTGTTTTACTTAACTTATGAACTTGTTCGATATATTATTTTCGGACATTTTGGTTTCTGTTTGTCTTGGTTTGCAAATTGGGAGTTTTCGCTCGAGGAACCTATAAAATTGAAGAACGACATTTCGGTTGACTATTTGTGAATTGCAAATAGACTTTGGTACCTAACTTTGAAGTTTGGTTCTGTTGTTAATTTGGGTTCGTGATTTGCAAATAGATCGACATACTGTACTTCAATAACGGGAAGGAGAAAAACTTGGACTTAACACCTATAACACCTCACAGTGTGACAATCAATATAGTTACATGGAATGTTTACAATGTGCGAGACAGGAAAAAGTATTTCAGTCTCTGCGTAAATGTAAAAATACAACCTGAAGGTACCTCAGAAAGCATTTAACGCAGATTAACGAGAAATTGTTAGCTTCAGAAGCGATGTTGTTTTACTGTGGTAATAATGAGGAAACTACCTAATACTTACTTACTTACGCCTGTTACCCCCAACGGAGCATAGGCCGCCCACCAGTTTTCTCAAACTCCCTAATATACACAATAAATTACAATGATGCTTTTCAGTGAAGCACAAAAACCACTGATAGGATGGAGATCTCATGGATCCAGGATCGTCAAAGCCTCCTTCAAACGAAAAAGAGGGGGTTACAATAAATGTAATTAGGTCCCATGCAACTGCCGATGAATACACTGAGGTCGGCATAGACTGATTCTATGAGGAGCTGCAGTCAATCGGCGACGAATGCCCAGTGAAGAATCTGATCATTCTGTTGGTAGACATAAACGCCAATTTTAGAATGAAAAACAGTGGATGCAAACACATCACGAGACGACACGTACTGTGAAAAAGAAATGGAAACGGTGAGGGATTCTCAAATCGATGTACCTTCAACAAAATGTTTACTAGCTGCACCATATTCCCTCACAAACGCATGCACGAAGCCTGATCGACCACATATGCACAAGTTCAGAAGGATGATGCAAGACGTAAGAACCAAACGAGGAGCTGACACAGCTTCAAGTTATCACTTGGTACTGGCCAAAATTAAACTTAAACTCAGAAAGCACTGGACAACAGGTAGGAAAATACCGCAAGCATTTATTACTGCCTTTCTTTGAAATACTGACGAACCCAACGAATTTAAGCTAGCCCTTACCAACAATTTTAAAGCCTTCTACGATCCACTCAATGAAGAGGAATCTACCATAGAGAACGAATGGGAAGGGATCAGAACATTATAACGTTTGATATTTCATGAGGTTATGGTCCACAAGTAATAGTACCGTGTTGATACTATAGATAAACTGAAGAAGGAAAGAACAGAAAGTCAGCAATCAATATCAGCCAAACAACAGCAGAGAAAGCCAAGACACAAGCCGAATTTATTGTAATAAACAAACAAGTGCAAAGAAGCATTGAAGGTGGCAAGTAATAATAAAAAGTGTTGGAGATCTGGCAATGATAGAAGAAAAAGCTGCAAGAGAAGGAAATCTAAGAAAGTTATACAATAAAACAAAGAAGCTCGTTCGAAAGTAAAGCCAAGTAGAACGTCCATTCAAGAACCAAGAAGGGGAAACAATCATCAGCACTCAAAAACGAGACTAACATTTGAAGAAATCAGCATGGCTATCATAGTGGTCCAATTGATTAAATGTAATTAACCACTAAACACAAATGCCCCCAGCATCATTGATTAACAGAAGTAAAAAAAAGAGCAGCAACTGTACAATCGATGAAAATTTGGAACTCACAAAGAATGTCTAGCTATACCAAAGTCTAAATTTTCAAAACAATTCTATTGTATGGATAGGAAAATTTTAGAACTACAAAATCAATCACCTGAGCGATACAGATGTTTACTGACAAATCTCTACGCAGGATACAGAGGATCCGCTGGCGAAAATCTACTGTGGAAGAAGAAAACAAACCCGATTCCAGGTACGCGAAAATCAGGAAAAAGCTCTCTGGGAGTCGGTACACACTGAGTAATCTCACTAACGCATCATAAGGCAAGCCCTAACTGTGGATCGTCCATGCCAAAGGAGAAGCGGATGACCGAAAATTGCATCATGTTGAAAATTGGAGACATACACATAGAGAATGGACAGTATTTGCATGGTATGGGAGAAGAGAACTAAGGATAAAGTAAGTAGAATAATAATGGCTAGCGAACTATGCCTACGTAGTGGTATTAACTTTAATACGTAAGTCAAGAAGTACCAGTGCTGGTACTTTGGAATATTTCCAGTCTCCTTTATACTTTAAAATGAAAAACAAACAATTACCATAAAATTCATGTAGTCAGTACATTTGATAGTGAATAATGATCTCAACGGAGTATGGCTGAACGTAAACCTTAACGTAAGCACACGAGTAACACTCAAATCTTTTTACAATAGATGTTCACTTGATAAGCCCTTATTCAAACAAAGATCTCGTTTTGATTTCTGATACTTTGTTTTCTTGAAAATTCTTTATTGTAACAAAAAATTTGGCACCCAATAAAGTTTTTTCAATATTAGTCAAATCAATAACTGGTGCTTAATAATTCTGAAATATAGTCTATTACATTTTCGATTTATTTTGGTGAACTGCATTTGTTATCAGTTTACTGATACCAGTTTCCCTAATAATTTATTGTTTTACACCTTGGATTCACAGACAACTACGAAATATTTGTGATTCATTCATGTTGGACATGAGATGAATTCAATTACAGGCAATCAATATTAGTCTTATAATAATAAAAATCTAAGCTATCAGTTGGAAATATTATATCGGGGATGTTAGATCCTCAAAACTCGCTTGATAAAAGCCTTATTTTGGATTTCACACTTGCCAGCATGGGCTGATCAGTTGACATTGAGATTTCATTTCCCACCAGGAAAATCCTTTGCTGTGATTGGCTGCTGTGTATTTTAGCGTGCTGTTTTGTGACTGTCGCAGGGATGTTTCTATGATGTATAAATAAACGAAAGTTGTGTGACCGATTGTATTGTGCTTGCTCGATGTTTGTAGAATATACTTTCTACGCTTATGAAGACTTTTCTTTTGCAGTTTTGGGATCAAGGTAGCCTACCTGGAGGCTGTTTCATTGTCTCGTTTGCGTTATTCGACTAAGATGAAATAGTAATATCTTCAAGCGTACCTAGTGATGAACCTAACATATTACTCATAACATTTAATTTTGCTTGATAATGATAATATTAAGTATGAATGGATTTCGTTTCGAACAATACCGTTTAATTAATTTGTCCACTTTTGATTTACGGTCTTGAATTTCAATGTTCAATTGGCTATTCTCTGTTGCATTAATTTTGATTTGCTTATTTAACATAGTTTGGTGTAGATTAATTTGTTCTGTACGTTCTTTAACAGTTGAGTTCAACTCTTGACTGGCTTTTTGCAGATCATACCTCTAAAAAAGTAAAAACCAGTGAAACATGTGAATAAATTCAATAAATGTTCGACATTTAATCGGTAACATTAAAACCTACAAAAGTGAAAACAATCGGTGCATCTTGTGAAAATCGATCGCTATTAAACGCAGTTGCGTAGTATTGGACAAAGTATTGCAAAACACTTACTTGTCAGAAAAACGTTAACAAGAAAAAATAATCCAATCCACATAAACACTACTCTGGTAATTAGAAGGTCTTTATTTAGAAGAATTATGACGTCTCATGATGAAAGCGGAGTTCCTTCGAAAGTTATGAGACCGATGCTGCTTTTGACAACTAAAATACCGCCGCGGTGTGAGCAGTCGGGAATTTCCATCCGCCCTCATACCCATGAAAGCACGTGAGACCAAGTTGGTCACAATCAAATCCTTTCTACATCATGCATGCACACTGCTGTAGAGTCCCAAAGTAGGATGAAACGGCCGTCCAGTACGTCCGTGCCTCTAAGTAAGATGGTCTAACAATGAATGATCGATTCACAATTTCAATTATTAATAATAACGAGAAAATGTTTTTTTTTCTTGAAATGTACACTTTACCTTATCTGTATATTGTTCATAGATTTTAGTCAATCGATGAACTTCCAATTTTTTAAGATTTTTTTCAACAAGAAGTTTTTGTAAATTAAGTGATTGTTTCTCCTTTTCTTTTAACATTATATCAATTTCTAATTCATTTGTATCTAATTGATTTTGAAGAGATTCATTTTTATTCAATAAAGTTTCACATTCACGTTTTATTCGATGCAGTTCACCCTGTAAATAAAAAATAATAATCATAAAAATAATAGTGAATGTGAGGTGATACTTGTAATCAATCGATAAATTTTTTACTGACATATTAGATTGACTTACTAATGTATTTACTTACTTTCGCCTGTTACCCTCAATGGATCATAATAGACCACCGATCAGTTTTCTCCAACCAACTCTGACTTGGGCTTCCTTTTCCAATTCTGTGCAATTTTTGTTCATTCTTCTCATGTCTTTCTGTATTTCTTGGCGTAATGTGTTCACTGGCCTTCCTCTTTACCTTTTAGCTTGGAGGTTCCGAGTGAGGGCTTGTCGTGTGACGCAGCTTGGCGCTTTTCGTAGTGTATGTCCTATCCACTTCCATCGCTTCTTCCTGATTTCCAACTCCGCTGGAATCTGGTTTGTTCTCTCCCACAGTACGTTGTTCCTGATAGTTTCTGGCCAAAGAATACGAAGTATTTTGCGTAGACAGCTGTTATTAAACACTTGTATCTTTTGGATGATGGCTTTGGTAGTTCTCCAAGTTTCCGCTCCATACAGTAGAACTGTATTAAAAACCCTGATTTTGGTGTTAATTGACATTTGTTTGGATTTCCAGATATTTTTCAATTGTAGAAATGCAGCCTTTGCTTTGCCAATCCGCGCCCTCACATCTGCATCGGACACACCTTTGTCGTCAATGATGCTGCCAAGATATGTAAAGGTGTTAATGTCCTTCGAAGCATCTCCATCAAGGGTGATTTGGTTGGTGCAGGTTGAGTCGCATCGGAGAATTTCGCTTTTTCTTTTATGTATGTTGAGACCTACTGCTGCTGATGCTGCTGCCACACTAGTCGTCTTTGACAGATACTTCCGACGTACTGACTAGCTGCTCGTACCTTGAACATCTTGCAAGACGCTAAGCAAATGTTTAGTATGGCATCACGTTCATGCATACGAACTATCAGTCTAAGTAGTTGAGCTTACCTCTTGCACGCTAATAATAGCATGTTTCCGACTACCTCAACGCTAGCAACAGCTTGTAACGCTATCATAGACAGTCATACACTCTTTGATAGTAAATTATGATATCAATACGCAACGAATGTTCACTTATCGCATTCGTAAGCAGCAATCATTGTTCTCAAATTTTTTTCAACAATGATCTTTACGTCTATCTGCGTATATGGTACGTTGTAATGCCAAAGCATACATGAGCATACAATCTCAACAAAGTACAAAATATATGTGAGATGCTACACCTTATCATCTCTTAAAATCATAAAATATCAGTATTATCTTTCATCTTCTATGAGTTAATTTCATTTATTTCCAAGATGAGATAGTTAAAATTTCTTTCATTTCGATTTTATCATCTTCTTCAAATTGCATTCTATTTCATTGTCTATTTGTTATTACTTGAATTAGTTTTTCTGGTTAGCGTTTTTTTTTTGGCAAGTTAGTTTTTGACAGAATGGGGTCGCCAACACCCATGTCCAACCCTCCTCCTTTACCCGGACCGGCAGTAACCCCGAAGGTTCTACTGGCGGAGTTCTGTTTGTTATTTACAGCCAAATAAATAAATGACACCTCAAAACTTACACCAAGATTGCCAAGTTGATTTGTTAACATAGCCACCGTATTCTCACGTTCATTTAATTCTTTGGTTAATTCAGCAATTTTATTTTCTAACAGTTCACGTTGATCATTGCTTTCATCACCACTCATTCGACCAATACGTCTTTCTAAACTTTGTATAGTAAAATCCTGATTATTTTTAAATTAAGAAAAAAAACAGATAGAAACAATAGAAGAATACGATAATTAATGCAATTTATAATGAATAATGACATCTTGATTTTACTGAATCAATAAATCAATGAAGTTTCTGACAACCGGATTGAGTCATTTTCGTAACTGTCGATTACTTGGTTAGGATCCACGAGACAATAGTAACCGATGGTTAGAGACTTGAATTATTATTGATCACCTTTAATTTATTCCTGTAGATTATGTTTTTTGAATAATATCTACGAACCCCAATCTCTGCGATTACTGTTAACAGTTATACTGTAGTGAAGGAGAACACAGGTGAGGGCAACCGAATTGTATTCAACAAAAATTACAGAGTTACTCAGTAAAATCGGAAAACCATATCGTAAATCGTTCATTTGCAAAATATCAGTTCATCATATCGAACTGAAATGTTCCTGTTGCAAAACATCGATCGATTGTCACTCACTATTCATGTGTTTCATACAAATTCCATTGTGTTCTAACTCTTCCTTTCTTGATCTTCCCCCATCTTCTGCTGCCATACATTAGGTTGACACTCACGTCATATACTACTTATAAGTAGCTCGTACCACAATACTACCTCTACTACTACAAGATTTGTATTTACAATTAAGTTCATTTGCCAAAGCGGTATGGCAACTTCAACGGATGTACGTATGCTCGAAGTTCTTCATTGTGTAACCGACTCATATCAACTATAAACTAGAAAATAAATAATTTTAGTGAGTCATTTTATGTAAAACATACATACATAAACTTTTGGAGATTGATAAATCTCTCAGAGTAAATAATACTTCAAATTTGTAACTTATCCTTACAATATTTGTTTGGACAAAGTTAGAACAATTCATCAACCAACCAGTTATAAAATCTTTTTTTTTTCGACTATAAATCTTCCTCTCCAACTTAACAAATTTACTGAAGAATAGTCTATGCGAGAATGAAAGAACCTAGATCTCACCAAATTAAATGAATGAACTGAGAGATTAATAAAAACATTCGAGTTTATACTCTAATCTGTTCACTATGAGGTAAGAATCCAGAACACTGAAGGACCAGAAAATTCAAACACTGATTACGTCCTTACTTACTAACTTACGCCCGTTAACACAAGGGAGCGTAGGCAGATTGATCAACATAAAAACGTCCAACTTCTAGAGCATAGTTTGAGTGTTTTAAGTGACTTGTTCTGGTTAGTGTTGTTTTAGCAAGTAGGATTTCTACGGGAAGAGATTGCTAACCCCATGCTCAACCTTCCTTATTTATCCGCTCTTGAGACAGGAATTAACCCCTAGAAGTTATGAAATTTTTATGGCTTGTACCGAAGAGCAAATGGCTATTGTTTAAACGTAGTTATCAGATACCGGAAGAACGGTAATCTAAAACAGGAGGGCGTGACCACTGGAGTTAACACCCTGTCGTGTCCAGGTAGTAACCACCGAAAACAGTGTATAAGGTCGAGCAAAATCCTTAGATTGGATTGAGTTAGACACTGTTACACTGTTGCATCTTGGCTCAGAGAAGCACAGTCAAGCCCGAAGATCTCGGGCTCGAACCTTGAGAATAGTAGGAGTCGTGTAGGAGTCGCACTGCTCAGTACAGTGTTCAAGGTTTATTTCAATAAAAAAAGAAATGGGATTAGAAGACGATTTGAAACTTTCATAGAACTCAAACTAGAATAAATGAAAAAACAGTTAGAATTAATTCCAAACCTGACGATATAAAACTTCTTGTTGTTTAATTAATTGAGAATCTAACGTTTCAATTTTCTCGAGTAAATTTCTTTTAGTTATTTCACAGCCTGAAATAGCTTGTTTCAATAATTTCTCCTCACGAACAAAATCTTCATATTTCTAAAAATATAAAGTATTTAACTTGGTCAGAGTTATATAGAGTAAAAAACACACACTAACTAGGAATTAGTTGAATTTCTCGAAAATTGACTGTAAACATTATTGGGAAGTTTATTGAACATGCTCTTTGACTCGTCATGGTGGCTAGTACAAAGGTAGACTCAAGAAAAAGCATTCCCAATAACCAGACAGAAATAATTCCGATTGAGGAAATCAATAATAACCGTCAATTCAAACATTCCAGTTGAAGCCCTTATTTTATATGTGGTGAGAGAATTAAAATGACATAGCCTATGAAGCATATTCATCTGCTTTCTATCTCTCTTCTTCTAGTTAAGGTATAGTAATATTCATAGCTGCTATTCCTACCCTATTTATATATACATTCTTTTCAGACTGTTTGTCCAGTTCAGTTCAAATCACAACTTCCTTTAATAATAATTGGAGCTCGTTAACTGGATGTATAAATAAAGTCGATCGATGTGTCACTATGAGATTTGAATGCAGTACGTTAACTTTTGAACAATGCAATAATCCTGTAACTTAAAAAAAAAATTGAATTCAGCACTGTCAAATACATTGCTTACTTGCGTAACTTTAAATTTTTCTTCACGTAGTTTATTCAATTGCTTACAGAATAATTCATGATTCAATGTTTGTGAAGTTAATTGTTTATCAGCTTCATCGGCATATTGTTCAGCGGTCAATTTACATTCTGTCACATAAGATAACCGGGTAAGTGAACTATCAATTGATTCTTGAAGATTTTCAAGACTTTTTAATTGTCAAATAAATAATTAAAAAAAAATTACGAATCAATAAAAAAATCGATTAAAAAATTAGTGTAAATGATGTTTGCATTACGGGGTTGTGAAGATTGTTAACTTGCACATTTTTTGAAACCATGAACCGATCAATGTTACACACCACACTATTAGAAACATGGAAGCACTGGACTGCCGTTTCGTCCTGGTATGGGACTCCTCAGCAGTGCGCATCCACGACTCCTGCACCCCGCTGGATTCGAAACCAGGACCTTCGGTATTGTGCGCGAACGCCCTAACCGATAGACCACTGAGGAACCTTATCTGAGTTCTAGTGGGAAGACGTGACCAGTGAAGTTCAACCTGTTCGGGTGTCGGCAGTGTATACCGAAGACTGTGTATGAGGTTGCGCAACTCCGTGAATTTGATCAAGTTAGACATTAACACCGTTAGATACCGGCTCAGTGGTCTATCGGTTAGGGCGTTCGCGCACAATACCGAAGGTCCCGGGTTCGAATCCTGCGTGGTGCAGGAGTCGTGGATGTGCACTGCTGAGGAGTCCCATGCCAGGACGAAACGGCCGTCCAGTGCTTCCAGGTTTCTAATGGTGGTCTAACATTGGTCGGTACATGGTTTCAAAAATGTGTAACTTAACAATCTTCACAACCCCGTAATGTAAATGATGTTTGTCCAACTGCAAAGAAAGGCTAGTAGTGAAAGCATTCCATTTTGCGCTAAATCTTATTATCATTAATAAGAAAGAAGGCTGAACTATTCTCGTCTGACGTGGACCATCTGTCCAAGCTACCATGTCTGTCCCAATCACAACTCACAGTATTATTTATCTTACATACTACAGATTCAACTTAGCCTTTTCACATTGCGATTGTCACATTTTTCACAGCGTGAACACACACACACCAATACACAAGCATATATCTAATATGAATTACCTTGACCTAAGTGACTTGGTCAGACCTGTTTTTGATTGATTTATTCAGTTAAGTAATTTGCTTAGCTCCGTTGTACTATTTGCACGTTCAGAAATATTATAAAATCAATAAGAAATGGTGATACCACCAATTTATTAATCCATAGGTTAAGCAAACAACTTGAAAATTAAACAGGAAGTTGGCTGGTGAGAAGAAACACTCCTATTTTCTTATATCTTATCGATATTTCTCACTAAAGCGTGGTGTCTAGACGAACAATGCTAACTAGAAAAAAGTATGTTGGTAAAAATCTAATCAAGTTAGACCAGAATGTTTTCAATTACAGTTATGGAGATTAGTGTTTTTACACATTTGAAATCATTAATCAACCAGTGTTACACCACCACTGGAAACCTGGAAGCACTGGACAGTCGTTTCGTCCTGGTATGGGACACATCAGCAGTGCACATCCACAACTCCTGCACCTCGTCGGATTCGAATCCGGAACCTTTGGTCTTGTGCGCGAACGCCTGACCACTGGGCTGGCATCCAGAGGTGTTAATGTCTAACTCTGATTGATCAAAGGACTTTGCGCGACCTCACCCATTTGTCTTAGGTAGTTACTGCCTACACCCGACAGGGTTGAACTCCACTGGTCACGTCTTCTCACTAGAACTCCAAGAATTTCCTCACAAAGCAAGTCATGTTGTCAGTTCATGAAATCATTGAACTAAATGAAGTGTAATTATTAATTGATAATTGACTCATTGATACCCATCACCTGTATAACTGATGAGTTTCACCTAACCTATGATTGTGCTTCAGCGTATGATTTTCAAAAGATATAAAATTCACATGAGTAGTTTTTCATTAATGATATGCTATTATTAATCTGAAAATAAACAGCACCATTTCGTTACACAATTGACTCTTCTGAGCATGGTAAAAGCCTTGAACATCATTGCAAACCACTGCATAACATTCACTAAACTTTTTTTTAAGGCTAAACTTTATATAAAAGATATTTGAATTTTGTCATTATTTAGTTTAAAACTATCTAACATTATCTAATGTACTTTAGGACTGTTCAATTTATAAAGTTGGACAAATTGAACGTTGAACCATAAAATTCAAAACAATATCTGCTGACTCACTTTTGCAATTTCTTTTCTTTTTCTTTCTTTAATTGTGAATTCAATACTCTAGCTGCTTCTAGGTCATTTACAGTCTTATCCACAGTACGTTTCAATGCTTCTAACTTAACACAATTAAAAACAATAGAAAATGAGTTTCTAATTCAATATGCATGTGGCATTCATGTAAGGCGAGAGAGAGAAATCAATCGATTATTGATACACGAGCAATGGTTCTAAGACACCTGTGAACGAAAACCAGTAACCTACGAATATCTGTTACTCTCACTGGCCATGTTTCACAGCCATAAAGTAGGACGGAGTGAACTGCTACGCAGTACACTCGTCCTTTAATCGGCAAACGAATAGCTCGCCTACGCCATAAGTGACGTAGGTTGATGAAAGTCAATCGAGCCTTCTATATCCGTGCTGAGGTTTCGTCATACACCAGACGATCAGCACTGATGAGACTATTGAGATAAATGAAGCGGTCGACACACTCGATTGCTTCAGTCCCTATCACATGCCAATCCAGAAGCAACATTTCGCATTTCGACGGAGAGAATCACGTCCGAAACATGCTTGTATTGTTGCTTAGGATAGAGTGAACCAGAGGGACAAGTCGAGAATAAAAGGAAGGCAAAGCAACTGCCAACACTCAAGAATTGAACCAACAATTGACGAAATCAGCATGAGCACCAATATGTAACCATCACTTAAATAGAATTCAGCACTATCAATCAACTTCCCCAGCATCATCGATCAACAGGGTGGATCTGGCGCAGATGTTGAGATAAGAATTAATAAAGTAAGGGCGGCATTTCCGAATTCATCATGACCAGTTTTCTGTTCTGAAATTTATTTCACTGGAATAAACTTCTTGAATCAAATCTTCGACCGCCAATCTTTTCCATTACCGCCAATACTTCTTCTACCTCTAGAACCATGGGATTGGAACTGGCAACTCCATCTCTCTGTAACAGATGTGCCAAATGACAACTGGCACCGAATGTATACACGTTTCAAATTCTACATTGTAGCTGATTGATTGAAGAGACTGACTGAATCATGTGAAGATGTTCGAAATACTAGATCAGTAAATTTAAATAGTATAATTTTGGTACGTACATATATGATGAAACTCATACAACACAAAAATAATGAATAATTATGGCATACACCTACCCCGCTGTGAAAATCCAGTCGTTTAGTTTCTGTATTACTCAAATCTTGTTTACACTGTGTTATATTCTTGATAATCTCGTTTAACTTTTGCCTGACATTTAAATTATTCTCCTCTTGTAAATGAAGAAAATCTAATTTCTCCTTATTCAATTGCTTTTGTTCACATACTTGAGCTTTAGCTTGATTAAGACGCTGAAATGAATTTTTTTTTAAAAAAAAAAGTACAAATTCAATAATAAAACGTTATAAATTGCAATTTTTTACAAATAATCTTTTTTCAGGATTAAAAACAATAGAGGTACTGTGGTGCGAACTACTTATAAGTAGTATATGATGTGAGTGTCAACGTAATGTCTGACAGCAGAAGAGGATGGGGGAAGATCAAGAAAGGAAGAGTTAGAAAACAATGGAATTTGTATGAAACGCATGAATAGTGACAATGGATTGATGTTTTGTAACAGGAACAGTCCAGTTCGATATGATGAACTGATATTTTGCAAATGAACGATTTACGATATGGTTTTCCGATTTTACTGAGTAACTCTGTAATTTGCGTTAAATACAGTCAGGTTGCCCCATCTGTGATCTCGGTCACTACAGTACATTGATATTCGAACAATTTCAGTGAACAAGTAAAAATCAAATGAACACTTGATGTATATATAAAAACATTGAGAAGATTGTTAATCGAATAAAATCTAGTGTGTGGATAAGTATATTAAAATGAAGCTATACTTTACTTTACGTGCCAATCTGGTGACTTTTTGACAAATCTCAGCGACCTTCATTAAACAATATACAAAAAGCTATGAAACCTTAATTCTATCAGTGCTTATTTTCCGACGTTCCCTTTCAAAATAAACAAACATTGTGTACATTTAGTTACTGAATACTCATATACATCATAAGTTATGAATGAAATCAGTACTCTTTGAATCCTATTCTCTAAATATGCATTTTGTTGACAGTTAGAGGAGATTGTGGTGGTGTTTCGTTCTCTGAGCTGATTGGTTTGGTTGTGGAGCTTTGATTGTTCTTCTTCTGAACAACAACATCATCAGCACAAACTTCAGATAGAAGAAGTGAAGCATTCGAATTTCTCCACGTTTCACCTGTAGCTTGTTCTGCTCCACAACCAAAACAACCAGCTCAGAGAACGAAACACCACCACAATCATCCACCTGAGCTACAAGTTTTCCCCACCATCTCCAGCAAAACAGAAATTCCTGCTCACGGCTAGATAGTAGTAGTTATAGGATTGATTACAATGGTATGAAAAAATATACAAGCAATAAATGAAAATGTACCTGAGAAAAATGTTCTAATTCAACATCACGTTGACGCATTTGATTGATAACATCTTCCCATTGTTTTATTAAACTATCTCTTTGTGTATACGCTTCTTTGACTTCTTTGCTTAAATTATCAAATTTCACTTGATTTACTAATGTATTTGTATAAGTTGTGTCTAATTTAGTTTTCAATGTTTTTCGAACATTGGTTAATTTCTCTAATTCTAAATCAAGTTCCTAATGGATTGAAAAAAGAGAGAGAAAGTTGTTTTAGATAGATGCAAAAAAAAAGATTAGTGTTGATGTGTTGATAAATGAACAATACCAAATTGAATAAAACATTTATATCATCATTCTAAAATATAACTAACTATCAACCGACATGCCTGAAGCACATGCACGTTTGCTGCTTCTATGCAACACAATAGTCCACACGACTACACGTTTCACATGATACTCCTCGCCACAAGAGTATGTACAAGTTGTCTAGGTTCTCACATAGGTCAGTCAGACATGCATTCAGTGTATACGTGAACAGGGAACCCTGTGTTGGGCGCTTATGTATCAATTGGATCCCTCCAACCAATCCATGTCATGTACTTGACCGAACGCAAGCACTCAGTCAAACTAGGCCAATCTCACCACACAAGAGTGGGCAGACATCAATTGAGTTCAAACAACAGATCAAGATTCCATTCGCCCAACTACAGACCTTTGTTTAAGGGGCCTCGACGTCAGTTGACACACTACACTGAGGCAAAGAGTTCGGGCAAACCACATAGGATCGACGTCTGTAGTCCAGGACCTTCACGGCTGCGTAGCTGAACAAATCGTTTGGGGCCACTTCCAAGTTCGTTGGAAGGGGTAAACTCCATTTAAATCAATTGGTCCTCAAACCATTATTTAAATTTACCTAATCTGTTCAAATTTAGGACGGGATTCATTCTTAAGGGAGTTCAGTAAAAAATCTCACAGAGTGGCTAATTCACATTCACGGCTTCGTGACCATAAACACGTACTATTATTCACGACCATGCTATACACTGTATCCTTAGCCTTCCGAACGATGTTTGGCTGTAGCAATGTTAACACTGTCACGTTTCTAGCAGAAACACGAAGAGGTAGTCGCCACCACAGCCCTCAGGAGGCTCCATTTATGCCACATATTCGTCTAGCCCTGCATGCGACGCTTCCATCTCCAAAACATACTGCACAAATACACTACAATTGGATGGTAACATAGAGCCTAGTAATGAGCGAAAACAATCACCAGCCAATCGAGCGAAGCACGACAAAGCCAGACTAAACCTGTTCGCTCATAGAAGACAGGCAGTAGCACCAGACGTCCCGAACATTCAAGCGGAATGACGAGGAATTAGCTGCCTTAAGAGAGTCATACATACTTCCGTTTCTTGGCTCTCTGAACTAAGATCATGTGTAATTTATTTTCTACGGAACCATGTAATGAGTTTTTCTACTGCTTCCAAGAGCATATCAATCTTCTTTCGATAATTATCATCGCCTTCTTTTTTCAACTTACTTTAATTTTCGTATTATCTTGCTTCATATATTTCTCGACAATTTTCATATCTTCATCATGGTCACCAATTTTTTTTATAAGATTTTCTAATAAATTCTTATCCGCATTAATATTAACCATAGAATTTTCTAATTCTTTCCGTTTTTGATAAAACAAAGTCTAACCAAATTAGAAAGATAATCATCATCAATATCGATTACAGAAATATACTACTATTAAATTATTAAAGTAGTTTAAAAAAGAATAATTTTTTTTATAGCAAAAACATAATATTATTCAGAGTGATTTTTATTCGAATATCTTTCATTTGATCATAAGGCTATTAGTGTTATTATTATGGTTTAAAAAATATAATACTTAAATTACTTTTTCTAGTAATGTAGAAAATTTTCTAATTTTGCAAAGAGTTATATATAATTAAATAAATTCCATTCTCGTATTAATCAGTTTAAACTAATTTGAAGTTAAATAGGTTGTTTTTCATTTGTCCAATGGTAAAATGCATTCAGCGCGAAGATTCAAAAAAGGAATTAAACTTCAAATAATGGTTTTTTCCACTTAGAAATGATGCTCCAAGTCAAAGTTGGACATGTAAAATATTGTTATTATAACTATTCTTCAATTACCAGAGATCATTGGATGGAAAAATAACTTCGAACTTATGAAAATGAGAAAATCTCATATCGAAAATTCACGAATATCTAATGGAATTAAGTCCTGAGAAACCGATTAGAAGTACTACCCGCTAACTTATGTCAACTGTTGTGTCGGAAATAGTTCTGTTAAAAAACAGTTGGTTAACCTCGTAAAATATATTACTTCTTCATTGGCAAAACCGCAGATTTTGAAATTTCCATGATTTTTGATAATAATGCGATACTATAACGATCAAAACTGTAGAATCAATGAATGAAATCTGCTGGACATCTATCAGTGATATTGTTGAGTACTACTACTATCCACTGAGCTATGGAATTCAGTGTTGTGTTCACCTACTTTGTGAACAATCACATTAAGATCTCGGGTACATCCGACTAAAGAGTCCTGAATGGAACAAAATATGTGTCCGTAACTCAACCATTGATAATTATTCAAATTAAATAAATTGTTGTGACTAAATGGCAATAAACGCCAGCAATTGCTTCATGACCCTGATAAGCTGACAGAGATTAATGAGTTTCGATCATTAACATTCACGCTGAAACATACACAGCTTTATATAAATATTGAGTATCAGTCGTATAATCAAAGATATGTCTAGTCGAATATTGTGTACAGATGAAATTCGGTGAATTCTATGAGCCAAACAGGATTGTTTGGTCATGAATTTATATTATTGGAGAATGAACCATCTACTGTAGTCTAGTTATCAATGGTTTGCTAATTACTATCAGTTCATAATAATAACTATTATCACATAACTTAATTGCCAGAAATCAAGAAATACATCATCGAGATGATTGATTATCTGGCCTATTTCAAATAAACAAACCTCTAGAAAACTTTTCTTTTCAGTAATATCATTTTGTATTTGTGCAATTTTTTTATTCTCTTGAATTAAGCGCTCGTATTCACGTTCGGTTAATTTCATTTGATGTAATTCTTCGGTAATTTCTTTATCGCGTAAATTACATAGAGCGCTTGTATATGTGATTTCTTGTTGAACATTTTTCATGTGACTTTTCAATTGTTCAACTTTTGAACGTTCAATATCCAACTGACTATTCCGTTGAAATAATAAATTCTGTAACTCTTCAAGCTGATAATGATTTTTCAAGAAAAAAAAAGTGAATAAGTTTAATTATTTGGCACAAATTGCATTAAAAATGAACACACGATACTTGATTTTTAACTCTTACAGTCGTCATAAATTATACCGTATTCAGAAATCTTTTTCACGTCAGTGATCTGGATTTCACTGATTTATAACAATCATTCTACTGAACCACTCTAATTATCTGAAGACATTAAGCATCCATTGATGATTGTTATTATTTCGTTCAACCTTCTTCTATCCCCAGTACTTGGTTAAATACATGCAAACACTATCGGACATTAGTTAGTCGATGTTAGACTCTTGCCTTTTCAGATTTCATGAATTTTCTTTTAATTCAAAATTTAAGCGAAGGTGATCACCTAGATTAAGTCATTTGAAGTTTAACATGTTCACTGATAAGAGGAGGTTGTAATGCGAAAGTCAAATGGTTTGTCAGTTATTCTAGTCGAAAATCATCAAAATTCTGTGTTAACTAGCTAATCAACTAGCTAACTTCAATTATCTCACAGTGTCATAGTTAAAATGTTGACGGTTTACACTTGCAAATATATATATACCAAAAGTTGTTCCTTATGTTTAAATAACTTCAGAACACGATCGCCATTTTCTGTTCCTTGAGCCGTGAAGCAATAGGATCTACCCAAATGACTTTGAATTTCGAATAACCCACCTGCTTGAGCAATAAAATCACTGACTAAAGGACGAGTGTACTGCGCAGTAGTTCGCTCCTCCGTCTTACTTTATGGCTGTGAAACATGGCCAGTGAGAGTAGAAGATATTCGTAGGTTACTGATTTTCGATCATAGGTGTCTTCGAAGCATTGCTCGTATATCCTGGGACACCCGAGTGAGCAACGCTGTTATTAGGAATCTGGTGCTAGGTAAGAATGGCAGATCAATAGATGAAGTGGTGAAACTTCATCAGTTGAGGTGGTTGGGACATGTGTTACGTATGCCCAACCACCGACTGCCTCGTCGAGCTTTGTTTTGTGGTGTAGGAATAGGTTGGAAGAAAGTTAGGGGCGGCCAAACCAAAACATGGCAGAAATCCATGAAGTCATTGACAAGTGGACTTAGACATGTCTGTAATTGTCGACTACCTGGTTGGGGTCCGCGAGATGATAATAATCGATGGTTAGAGACCCTGAATGACATGTCTCAAAATCGTTTGCAATGGCGCCGATGCATTTATTCTTTGTGTTCTCTCAAATCCTAATCTTCTAGATTGTTCAACCCCTCTAGTTTTGACTTTCTAAACTTTTCTCACTGAATCACACTTCTTGAATAATATATTCTAACCCTAACCTCTCCGATTACTTCTAATACCCTTACTAACTCCTCTACTATTGGATTTGAATTGGCAATTACATCTCTGTGCTGATGTAGTATGGCAACATGAACTGATGTACTTGCGTACGAAGTTCTACGTTGCAACTGACTGACTGACTACATCAAAGGGCCTAACATTCTGAAGGAGTTTGAAAAGCCCTTTTTAAAATTCATCTTTTATCTCATATGAGGTGGGATCAGTCGGTATACAGGCAGATATACGAAGAGACAACGGCAGGTGTTGCTATCTTTTCAAGTCCCCCTGATCCTATTTACTGGGAAAGTGCACAAGCTAATGCCTACTGGAATCTAGTCTAAGAGGGCTGGTTCTGCTATAAAACCCAGTGATATTTCTATAACAGCGAGAGTACGGGAAGAAACAATGGTGCTTTCACATACGGGATCCTACATCTGAACTTTTATCAAGTATTTTGGTTTTTCCTCTTTGTTGCAGTTTTGGACCTAATAGTCTAATTTTGATCTGATTATCGCTTACGTCTACACGAGTTCATGTACCTCAGTCATCTAAAAATCTCTGAATAATGACTGAAAAGTGCAGTAGAAGCAAGTGCTAAAGCTTACGCTGCTGATATCCTTTGACAAGTGACATACAGTGTGATTAGTGCAAAGAATGGTATCCCGAAGTTTGCACGAATCTAAAACCTGTATCTTTCAAATGTTTTAGTAGAAACAGATGCATGCGACTGTGCCAGCAGTCTTGCTTGGACGTAAATGACTTGCTATTAATAGCCACTCTTATCGTGAGCATCGCTTTAAGGAATATAACAAGGCGCAACCAGGATGGATCATGGTGATTCCCAATCTATCGATACCTAAGGCAATGTCCAGTCAGCACAAATAGGCTCAGTGCCAATTTACTCATAGGAAGGGCTGTGATATGAAGACAAATAAATATTTACCTGAACAACATAATTTTATTAGTTTGCGTCAGCAGATAAGAAATTAATAAAGGCGTGAGGTGAAGCAAAATGAAGCAGGAAAGGCAGGTGGGGTAACTCTTTATGAAAAAGCGTAACAAGGCATTTATCATCAAGATCAAGATAGACATGTGATAAGCCAAGAAAGTAATGCACGTACACACTTAAGTAAAAAGCCAAAAAAGATCTAGAACTACGGCTACATACTGGTAAGAAGAACCTTAGGTTGTAACTCTACAGTCGATGAAGCTTCGACGAAACCACATTGGGTATATCAAGAAGCGATTTAGATTCTCTTTGGAATTGCGACACTAATATCTGAAGTTTGCCGCGCAGGCGATTAGAAAAACATGTAGAGACTGACTAAACTCGCTGTCATAAAACGTTGGCTGACAGCCACGTTAATTCTCGTGATCGTAAGTAGGTTGTAAAACCAGACTGAATAAATTAGAACTAATTCCTTTGTCATATTGCAGGACAGGAGGCTACTTGTCCACAATTTCAAAATTATCCACGATAAATTTGCATTTGATGTGCCCTCATTTTTCCTATCTTCCAAAATAGATACTTCGATGAAACATTGCGAAATTTCACAAGCACAGAACAAATGACTTGTCATATGATTGTCGACGTTCTTGTTAAATCCTCGAAAAATAAACTACTTTGCCTTGACAAGTGATTTGAATGCCATGTGTAGACGTATTCGAAAGTAAGTCGGATGGAATAAGAGATCATAACTAACACAGACCACCTAGCCTACTGTTTCATCTAAACTACGACTGAAACTGAAGTCTGATAGGTAAAACAGAATATATACATCTTCAAAGTACCTTTTTCAGTACTCGGTAATTCATATGCTGTATTTTTGAATATGTTATTCACTTAAACATAGGCAACGCTCACTAGAAACTTCAGATAAGATAGAAACATTCTCTGAAGAACGTTTTAACATCAGCAAGATGCTTAGTATTATCTCAAAAAATTCAGAGA